CTTACTACTTTTATTCCACATTGTATTGGCGATACTAACCAGTACAATAAAATGTGGAAAAGGAAATTTCCAAAAATATTGGAAAAGAAGAACAAAGCTGACATTATTTATAGATAACATGGGGGTTTACATAGGATCTTCCTTCTCTAAAAACTCAAGCAAATTATTAGAAATAATGGGAAAGTTTAGCAAGGTGGCTGGGTATAAGATTAACATGCACAAGTCAATTGCATTTCTAGAGTGGAGTAACAAAGAGAAGGTACCATTTACAATATTATCATGTGATAATAAGACATTATCTAGTACTAAATTTAACAACTTTATTGTTAAAGGAAAACATTTTTAATTAAGAGAAATTAAAGAATTAAATAAACATACTTTATGAGTTGCTTGGAAGATTTAGCATTGTAAAGATTTCAGTTCTCCCCAAGTTATCTATAAATTCAGAGCAAATTCAATCAAAGTCCCAATAAGATTTGTATGAAATTGATAAGATTATTCTGAGATGTGGAAGAGTAAATGGCCAAAAACAGTTCAGGGCATTTTTAAAAAATAGGAGCAGGGAGGAANCCATTTATTTATTTTTGCTTATACTTCCCTTGCCTTTGAGATCAAATTCATAAAATCCTCTCTAAGACCAAGGTCCATAAGTTTAATACCTGTATATTTTTATGTGTATTTTATTGTTTCAGATCTTATATTTCAGTCTTTGATAAATTTTGAGTTAATTTTAGTATATGGTGACAGATAGCAGTCTAGTTTCATTCTTTTGCACATGGCTTTCCAATTTCCCCAGCACCATTTATTGAAGAGGCTTTCTTCTCTCCATTGTATGTTTTTGGCTCTTTGTCAAAAATTATGTGCCCATGTCCATACATATGTAGATTTATTTCTGGGTTCTCAATTCTATTCCATTGGTCCGTGTGTCTATTTTTCTGCCAATACCATGCTGTTTTGATTATTGTCGTTTTGTAGTATAAATTGAAGTCAGGGAGTGTGATGCTTCTGGTATTGTTTCCCCCCCCTCCCCCTTCAGGATTGCTTTGGCTATTCAGGTCTTTTGTTATTCCATACAAATCTGTTGATTTTTTTGTTCTATTTAAAAAAAAATACCACTAGGATTTTGATAGGGATTGAATAAAATCTGTATATTGCTTTGGATAATATGGTCATTTTAACTATGTTGATTCTTCCAATCCATGAAGATGGAATATCTTTCCATTTCTTTGTGTCTTCTTCTATTTCATTAATAATGTCTTATAACTTTCAGTGTGTATGTCCTTCACATCCTTTGTTAAGATTATTTCTAGGTGTGTTATTATTTTTTCTGCAATTGCAAAAGGAATTGTTTTTTTCATTTCTTTTACTGAAATTACATCATTAGAATGCAATGGATATTTGTACATTGATTTGGATCCTGTATTTGTTTATTGTTCTAATAGTTTTTTGGTGGAGTCTTTAGGGTTTTATATATAAAGAATCATGTTGTCTGCAAAAAGTGACTTCATTCCCAATTTGAATGCCTTTTATTTCTTTCTCTTGCCTGATTGCTCTAGCTAGGACTTTCAATACTATGTTAAATAACAGTGGTGAGAGGGGGCATCCTTGTTTTGTTCCTTATCATAGAAGAAAAGCTTTCAGTTTTTCACCATTAAGTATGATATTAGCTGAGGGTTTAGTGTATATGGCCTTTATTATGTAGAGGTACTTTCCTTCAACCAAAGTTTAATTATTTAACTACTGAAAAACATTTGGGTTGTTTCCTGTATGGGCTATTATGAATAAAGCAGCAATGGAATTTGTATACAGGTTTTTGTATGAATATATATTTTAAGTTCTCTGGCATAAATATCTAAGAGTGCAGTTACTGGGTTGTAAGGTAAGTACATGTTTAGTTTCATAAGAAACTGCCAAACTATGTTTAACAATGACTGTGTCATTTAAAATTCCTACCAACAATGTATCTACTAGTTTCCCTACATCCTTGTCAGCATTTGGTATTATCCTGTTTTTTAGTTTAGCCAATCTAATCAGTGTACAGTGATATCTCATTGTAGTTTTAATTTATATTTTTCTAATGGCACAAGATCTAACAGAATATAGCTAAGGAGATAAACCTTGTAAACAACATAGTGAATAAAGTAGATCTTATGGATATAAATTAAACTCTACATTCTAATAATAGAAATATATTTTTAAAAATCAGCAGAACAACAAAGTAAACCAAAGAAATCACAAGGAATAAAATAATGAAGATAAATGCAGAAATCAGTAAGAATAAGAATTGAAAAACAATAAATATAATTAATAAATCAAAATCCTGTTTCCAAAAATAACAAAATAGATGAACAGAATAATTTAATCAATACAAAAGGGAGAAAGCACAAATATACAAAATAAATGACAAGGAGGAAATAATTGTTGAAGCAGAAGAAGTTAAAAACCAACAAGAAGCTACTTTTCAGAATTTTATGCAAATAAATTTGAAAAATCTAGATGTATAATTTTCTAGGGAAATACAGTTTGCTCAAATTGACCCCATTAGAGATAGAAAACTTAAAGAGACCAGGTTCTAAAGAAGAAATAGAAAATGTTATTCAGGAACTATCATACAAAAAAATGCCAGGCCCAGAGAGTTTCACAGGAAAATTATACCAAACCTCCAAAGACCAGATGGTTCCAGTGCTGTATGAATTATTCCAGAGTATTGAAGAAGGAAACTTCCTAATTTTTTTTATAGAGCAAATATAACCCTGACACCTAAATCAAGCAGAGGCATTACAGATAAAAATACAGACAAATATTATACATGATTATTGATGCAAAAAATCTAAACAGAATATTAGTAAATGAAATCTAATACCACATTAAGGAAATAATGACAAAGGGAGATTTTTTTTCCAGAAATGGAAGAGTTGTTCAATATTAGAAAATTCATGATTATTATATGCCATATTAATAAATCTAAGGGAAAATTATGTCATTATCTTCATAGAGGTTGAGAAATCCCTTAACAAAAATCCAACATCCATTTATTATAAAAAGCACTCCATGAAATAGAAATTGAGGGATACTTTCTCCTTCAATATCAATAAATGCAGTGTCAGTACAGAGTTATAATTACAATACAAATGACACTGTATCAATAAAGTAGATATACTTATTCCTAATGCCAGTATCTTATTTAATGGAGAAACGTTAAAGGCATTTACACTAGGAACAAGATAAAGATGTCTACTATCTCTGCTACTTTTCATCATTATGCTAGAGTTATTAACCAATGTGTTTAGAAAAGAAGCGACATATAAATGGGTGAAGAAGAATGAAAACTAATACTTCGATGTTCAAATGCTCTGATAATATCTCTGGAAAACTCCAGGGAATCAAAGATAAAACCAATTCAAACAATAAAAGAATTCACTGGATACAAAATTAATGTTAAAAAAATAAATAGTCTTCATATACATGAACACTAAACAGAGGGCATAATGGATGGGAAAAACTCATTTATAATGACTAAAGAAGATACTTCAGAATAAATAAAATAAGAACTGTACAAAAACAATATGGGGAAAATTGTAAACAGCCCAGAAAGAAATAAAGAGTTGAACAAATGGAAAGACAACATTCCCTATTTTTGGATAGGATGACTCAACATTAAAATGATAATCAGTTCTCCATAATTTATAAATATAATGCAGTCTCGATAAAAATACCAACAAACTATGTTATGGCATATACTAGTTGATACTAACATTCATATGGAAAAATTACATGCAAGAAGAGCTAGGAAAACACTGAAAAACAAAAGCCATGAGACTAGGCTTACCAGGCATTAAAACATACCATAAAGTCTCTATCATGAAAACGGTGTGACACTGGTTGGTGCACAAATAGACAAGTAGTATAGAATAGGAAGATCAAAAGTAGATCCACAAACATATATAATTTAGTATATCACAAAGATGGTATCTGAAATCACCAAAATAAAGGTTAACTTTTCTTTTTTTAAAAAAAATTTTTATTGGGTAACAGTGTTTTTTCCAGGACCCATCATCTCCAAGTCAAGTCGCTGTCCTTCAATGTAGTTGTGGAGGGTGCAGCTCAGCTCCAAGTCCAGTTGCGTTTTGAATCTAGTTGCGGGGAGGGGGGCTGTTTGCGGGGGAAGTGCAGCTCACTGGCCCATGTGGGAATCGAACCGGCAACCTTGTTTAGAGCACACGCTCTAACCAACTGAGCTACCTGGCCGCCCCAAGGTTAACTTTTTAATGAATGGTGTTAAGGCAAGCTGAGTAGCCATTTAGAAAAAGACAAAAGTAGATCCATATCTCACAACAAATAGAAGAATAAACTTCAAATGTATTCAGAATCTAAATGTAAAAAATAAAACCTTACAACTACTAAAAAGAAATGGATGAATTCCACTTTCATCTTGTAAAAAACAAGACTGATAAATTTGACTACAGAAAAATAAAACTTTGAATGACCAAAACACCATAAACAAAACCAAAAGACAACTGGTAAACTTGGAGAGAATATTTTCAATGTATACTTTAACAAAAGGCTAATATTTCTAATATATAGAGAACTCTTAAAAATTGAAGCACAAGGGACCTGATGGAAAAGAAAACATGAGAAATTCAAATTAAAACTACACAGAGATATTATTTTTCACCTATTAGATTGGCAAAAATTAAAAAGTTTGACAACACATTCTGTTGGTGAAGATGTGGGAAAATAGGCCCTCTTGTACCCTACTGGTGGGAATACAAATTGCTACAACCCTTCTGAAGGGTATTTGGGCAATACTCCCCAAATTATATATGTTCTTAGCTTTCAACCCAACATACCTACTTTTAGGAATATTATCTTGAAGACATAACTACAACAATATGAAATACATTTGCACAAGTTTACTCATTGCAGCATTGTTTGTAATTGTAAGANTAATATCACGTGATAGAGTAATGCCAACTCAAGTATTCTTTTTCCTTTTCCAGAGGCATTATATAGTTATAGAGGACAGAAGCAAAGGAAAGTTATGTTAACGGTGGAACAGGCCCATGGTCAACATTATGCGCTTGTATTATGGGGTCGTGGAGCAGCCTGGTACCCTCAACTTCAAAGGAAAAAAGGTAAATATACCAAAAACCATTTAATCTATTTATAGTTGGGTAAATGATTAATGCTTATGAGCCTAAGATGAAGAGAATTGTAAGAGATTAGATTACATTTGAAATATAAGTGATCATGATTGAATATTCTTCTGCAGATTTCTCCTGTTGTAATTTTATACCTCCTGTAAGCAATTCAGTAATCTAAAAAGCCGTCTATGATTGATGGTGGCAAAATAAAAGCTTCCATTTATTCCCAGGTATACTATTGTATTTTACCTTTCTAATGAAGATCTTTTCTTCAGATAATGTTCTTTAAAAATTTAATTTTGGAGAAGCTTCTACAATTTTTATTCAGCCAAAGTACTCTGATAAATAAATTTCTTTCTGACTATAAGGCAAATATTAGGGGAGTTGCATTAACTCTTTCAAATACAATGTTACTATTTAATAAATTACTGTGTTCCAGGTTTTAATTCCAGTTATTTAAAAGTGTGGGCTATTAGCCGCCCAAAGAATGCTTATGTTTAAAATATGACCCATGATCACATTTTTCTTTAAATCATAAATTAATAATTTATGATGTATTGAATTAAATGGAATTGATGTTTCAAAAAAGTAGTATATTTTCCTTTTGATATTGTGACATCCTGTAGTTGTAACAGTCAGAG